GGGGGGGGTAGTCCCAAATGTGGCTCTTGAGTGGAGGTGTATATGAGGGTACCCGAATGGAAGAGAAGGCCCAGGGTCAGAAGGTGTGGGCACCAGGACTGGCAGAAATGGCACAGAGACCAGGCAGGCCCAGTGGGAGCAGGAGAGGGGTGCCCCAGCAAGGCTTGGGGACAGCCCACCCCCCGCGGCAGCTCACAGAGGAAGCCTGGTTCTACACACACCATTTCACACCCCTTGCGTGTACCTGCTCCCCACTGGTTGAGGCCAGTGGGTGCCTTCCCAGGAGAGCAGGGCAAAGAAAGGGTGCGGCAGGAAGGTGGCAGGTGGACCCGGGTGTGGACGTGGGCTGCCGGGGGACACCCAATGGGAGCAAGCTCGTCGGCTGCCCAGACGCTGCCCTGTTGTCATAGGGATCTGGCCAAGGACAAGCACATCCAGGAGACCGCTAAGGGCACCCCGAGTGTGGTGGATCCCTGGAGGAGCGTGCAGTCTCCCCCTTAGCGCCACCCCCACTGGCCTGGGCTGCTCCTCTGTGTCTGAGATGCCGGACACCTGGCCCCCCTCCCCAGGCTGCCGTGGGGATCAGCGCTGGAGCAGGTGCAGGACTGCTAGCCAGCGCCGTCGTTCGGGATGTGTGTTTCCAGGACTTTAGGGTCTGGGCGAGCCTGAAAATCAGAACCTCGGTGCTTAGGAGGGACGTGGTTAAACTGGCTCCTGACCCTGTGGGTAGACAGAGGAGCCCGGACGGGGGCTCCCGACCACGGCCCTGTGCACTTCCCTCGGGCATCTCTGATACCAGGAGCCCAAGGTGATGAGGAACTCTGGTGTTGTTCATCATTCCAGAGGATTCCGGGTACCCGAGTCACAGGGTGGGCGCCGGAATTACTCATGGATTCTTGAAAGACAGGTGCCGGGCTTTTTTTTTTTTTTTTTTCTGGAATCCGGCAGACCTGCCTAGGAATAGTTTCCCTTATGACTTTCCAGATGCGCCCAGTTCAGATAACAGCCTAAAATCAGCCTCCTTTCTTAAGGTAGAAATACACTCTTTTGAAGCAAAATCTTTCATGTTCCTTGATCACTGGCTCGTTACGTTTGAGTAGATGATTTTGTGACTTTGCCGTGCTCCGTGGGATTATGATCAGGGTGGGGTCCGTTGTTTGGAGTGGAGCCCTGGTCCCCACCTCCAGTGCAGCAGAGGCACCAGAGTCACCAGGTGCTGTTGGAGACGTGCATTCTTTCAAGCCCCACCCCCAGGCCTCCCGAATCAAAATGCAGACATTTTAAAGCCTCTGTGTTCAAAAAGCTCCACAGGTAATTCTGGTAATTGGCCAGATTTGGGAACTACTAATCCAGCCTCTGTATTTAAAATCCTGTGCTATGAAAACCTTCTATTAAAGCAATCGAGAACTTAATTGGCTCTAAACTAAAATAATCAGGGGAAAGTTGAAAACAAAACAGACCTAGCGCCTTTGAAAGTCTGCATAACCCGACAAACGACTTCGCTCCCAGCAAGGTGTGATTGGCCCGGCTTTAGAGAGAGGCACTTAATCATGTTTTTGAGTCTAAAATTGGTGTGACCAGACGATCATTCATTCTGATGCTGAGCACCTGTCTCATATCATTAAGCGTATGATGGGACCCTTTCCATCACAGCCCCTCTGTGCCGTGCATTCGCTGAGGCTGTTTTTCCTCTGCTCGGTCTCTTCAAGGATAAGAGTAAACTTACCTGGTTTAAAAGAGCCTGCGTCTCCTCCGATGTCACATTTAGGAGCTTTGATTTGTGCTGATCATCCAGTACAGCTTCACCACGAAAGCCGTCCTATGGCATCAGGCAGTTGGCTGCCTCTCGTGGCCGTTTTCATTTCGGTTGACGCGTCGCCACGGTGGGGCTCCTGTGGGGTTCGTCTCGCCGGCCTGCTGGGACTGTGGCTCTTCTTCCGTGTTCACCCCTGCTCCGCCTAGACGTGACGTTGTGTCGGCATCTTCGTTTGGGACCGTGCCGTGTGGCTGGGCTCCTTTACGGGGCGTCATCAGGCCCCCAAGACTTGCTCCCCCCGCTTACTTTCGTCTCGAATACCGTTTTGTCCGGCTCTTCCGTTTTCCACTTAGGACGCAGCCGCTCTCGGTGCCAGGGTGCACTCGTGTGTAAGCACGTAGGCCTCTAGACTAACTCGTGCTGGCTTCTGGGGTCTGCAGTCCGAGGTGGTGTTCACCTGACTTGTTTATTCCTAGGGAATGTCACTAGTGCGTCTGGGTCTCAGATGGCAAGCGGCATCAGCCTGGGCTCCTTCAGCAGCCGGCCGGACAGCATGCAGCAACGCTCCTACTCTGTCTCCAGTGCCGACCAGTGGAGTGAGGCTACGGTCATTGCAAACTCGGCCATCAGCAGTGGTAAGAGAGGGCGCGGCCCCCTCGCGGTCCTCGGTCGCGAGCCGGGGGCTGGACGTGGCGCCCTGACCGCCCACGCGCTGAGTGCGGGCCCCGCGGGGCAGCTGCAGGAGCAGTGCGCGCGTCCCGTTCCATCCGTGGAGCGTGGGGTCCTTGACAGAGGTTGACAGAGGTGCCACCCACGTCGCCCCACGTGTTCCAGTTGGTCAGGGAGGAGCGGATCGCATCCCCGCCTGACAGCTTTGGGAAGCGGGGCTGCAGACAGGGCGCGTGGCCTCCCCACGGCCACGCACGGGAAGGCGGCGGGACCGGGAAATAACGCAGAATTTACGGCCTCGTCACACTTGGCCTGTGTGACCCCGTGTGCACTCTCACCACCGGTGCGCAGTTTACGTCGTGGGGGCTTGGGGGGGGGGGCGTGTCTGTCTCCTGTTCTCGTCAAAGGAAAACACGCAATTCGTGCTCCTTAACGACTTTCCCCCAATTCCTGATGCACCCTCTGAATTTTGGAGCGTTTCCCCTCCCACCCTTTTTTGGGGACAGCGGGGGAGGGGAACGTAAGTGTGGACGTCGGAACCTGTCTCGACACGTGTGTGCAGACGTGCATTAGGTGCTGGCTTTGCTGCCACACGCTTTGCCCGTGGCGTTTTGTCGACGGCCCGTTCACCGGTATTTAACGGAAATCCCCACTGTTGGATGTTATCTATCAGACAGGGCTTTAAAGTAATTTTAGCACGATTTGTGCTAATTAAAAGATTCAGCATCGGGTCTTCCCCGTAGACCCAACAGCTGCTGCGGCAGGACGTTTGCCGTGGGTAAACCTAATCCTGGCTTCCAGTTGCCCGGCTTCGTCTGGCATCGCACCATGCCAAGCGACCGCTGTGAACGAGGGCGTCTCAGCCTGGGCACGGAGGAGAGACTGAGTCTGTGGGGGGCTGCCGGAAAAGCCTGCGGCTTGCGGGCCCAGGTGGAGCGTTGCCCCCGTGCCCAGCACGCGCCCGCCCCCAGGGCCCCTTCCTCATTCGAAGGACGATGCCCTGGCAGGTGCGTGTGCCTGCTTCCTCGTCTCCAGGAACTCTTCCGGGCGTTCTGCCTCTTGTCTGACCGCAGCCAGGGGGGTCCTCGAGTCCCTGAAAACTAACCACCTACGGTCTCGTCCCTTGGAACGTGCCATCCGCGCACTGACAGCTGCCGCCTGCCTGGGCCTTCTCATCATACAGCCCGTGCTTCGGTCAGAGCACCCCTCCCCCCGCCCCACCGCCAGGCAGCCCTCCCCCCGGGAGCGTCTGTCTGACCCGGTGAGCGGGCGTTCTTCCCCCGCCCCTTGTCATCCTTGGGCTTGGAGCACAGGTGTGGCCCGTGGCCTCTGTGACTAAACGCCTGCTCTTGTTCTCGCAGTGACTTTCCTTTCCGGGAGGAGCAAGCAGTTCACATAATCACCGCATTCTCCGATATTCGGGATCCATCCGGTGGCTTTTCAGTCAGTATTAACCAGCCAGTTGGGTTTATTCTGTGGCCGCCTTTGTGCGGAGGTGTTTCCAGAGCCCAATGTGCACGGCACCTTGTCGGGCAGCGACCTTCTAGAGCTTTCCTCCTCTGAGCGCATTGTGGGCTCTACCAGCACAGCCTGCACAGAGTGACGGGGTTTAAGTTCTGCTCCTTACGCGCAGCGGGAGTTCTGTCTGGGGGAAGGCAGCAAAATAAAAGAGCTAGGTTCCTGAGAGAGACCATCGCCCCCAGCTTTGCCTCCCCCTACGCAGAATGTCTTCTAGGAAGGGCATGGGAAGCAGCATATTCGTCTAAATCCGTTCTCCGCAAGCTGTCTTCCGCACAGTTCTGCCTCTGGTGGTCGCCACGGCTCTCTGCGTCTGGCTAGGCGCGCGCACGCGGGGCGCTCCGCCGCCCCGAAGCACGGGACTCCGTGATGTCCAGACCCTCGGTTTGGCTGGAAGTGTCGTCCCGCAGGAGATGATCGCGTCGGTCTGCGCACACACATTTGTAAAGTCCCTGTAAGAGCCTGAGATCACCTACGTTCGCGCACTGCTCTTACCCCCACAGAGCGGTCTCTCCTGTGTTCACGCCCTCGAGAGTCCGTTTTTCCTCCACGCGGCATGCCTGTTAGCGACTGGCTAGGCTCCCTGACGCCACGGAGCCTGAACCCTGAGCACGGGCGATGGGGCGCTCGAGTCCGCCCCCACATCCGTCGTGCCGGGGGATCCGCAGGGAGAGCTCGGGAGGAAGCCCGGGGCTGGAATGGTGCAGGTCGTTTTAAGGGTTATTGGAGTCCGTCAAGGAAAACTTCTCAACGAGAATGAGACTTGAGCAACGCTTAAGGGACCAGGGGCGTTTTTGTACGTGTGCGGCCACACCGCACGAGGAAGTTATTCTGAGCATCGAGGAAGTTTGGACAAAGGCTCAGAGAGGAGGAGAAGGGGAAACGAAACAGGCCGGGGGCGGCAGTGACATGGGGTCGGCGGGCACGCGCGCGCGTGGCTAACTGGGTGCAGACAGGACGAGAAGACCATGGGGAGGTCAGAATGGCAAAAGCAGTTAGCGTCTCAATTTTAAGGCTTAGAGCTGGCGTCACTTTAAATAGCAAAGATCCGGAAAGACAGCAGAGTGCTGCCGGGGAGTAAGATTCCTGCCGTTTTACAGGATCCCTCCTTATTTCCTGCATCTCCTAGGGGCTGGTGGCACGTCACAACCAAGATTCGGTTGAAAGGGGGAACAGCAGCAGTGATACTAATAATAATGAGAGCTACTATTTATTGAGGGCTTCACGTGGATTATCTCATTCGATCCTCGGGGAGCAGATGCCTTTGATGGGTGGGGAAACTCTCGTCCGGATACGTACCGCCTGTCGAACGTCACACCCCGGCAGGGGCCGGGATGAAAACCTGGGTGGCCTGATTCCAGGTCTGAGCTCCACGCCGGTGCTTCTCCAGATGGGCTTTCCGGGCCAGCAGCAGCAGCAGCCCCCCGGGGACTGGTTAGAAGTGCAAATTCCTCGTCTCATTGTGGACCCACTGGGCTAGGTCCCGGCACCCCGTGTGCTAACAAGCCCCCCAGTGATGTTGCGTGCCGAAGTTTGAGAACCACCGCTCTGGCTAGAAATGCAGCCACCCAGACTCCACCGAGATTTGCTGGGTGGCGGGTGGGAGCCGCGTGTTCCCGGGACCCCCGGGGTGCTCGGGTACACGCAGGAGAACCCCCGCCCACCTCCAGCGAGGCTAGCATCACGACTTCCTGCTGGTGAACACCATCCCTGCCTTCCATGATCTATCAAGTGGCCAGACCCAGAGAAGTTTTTAATGAACACGAGGGCACGGGCTCTGACAGGCGACTTCAAGAAAACGCGTTTATGAATGGATTTCCAGACCCCAGCCTGGGCATCAACATTCTGTGCTGTGTTGGAAAATAATCACAAAAGAAACAAACATGATTAAGAGCTCTCTCTCGTGCTTTTTCTGAGTTACAGTTGATACAAATCCCACCCTCTTTTTTTTTTTCTTTTTTTTAAATTTTTAAAAATCCTTTTATTTTTTTCCCCTCAAGTCTCTGGTGTGGGTGTCAGAATCATGAAAGCTTACGCTGTCCTAGCAGCAGGCACAGGAAGAAGGTAAGCGGCTTTGGAATCCAGATGCCCCTGAATTGGTGAACCCGCCTTCCCATTGTCATCCACTCTTATTATCAAATAGGAGAACAACAACATTGGGAGTCCATTTCTCTCTGCCCCCTCGTCCGCACTAAATTAAGACTTTGGCTCCAGAGAAGTTTTCAAAGGCTGACCCTCTGCACCCATAGGTACCCCGGGGGGGGTTTCTCTCTTTTAAGCAGCTGTGAGCAACTCCTAATTAGATAGATTACTACGTAGTGTGCAAAACCACAAAACAGGAGGCTCCGGTGAAATTAAAGGTGGGGGGGGGGGGGGGGAGAGAGAAGAAGAATCCATTCTGTGAAATGGAATGCCCCACTGCTTTATGACTATTACTGTTGTAAGGTTTTACATTAAGTACCTGAGGTTTAAAATTAAACGTCTAATATAATTTGGCGTCGCTAACATGAGACCCGCATCTGCCCTTAGAGGAAATCCAGACAGCTCAGTTCAGGGTTTCAAATTGCTGTCGGCTGGCTTGCGAGCGGCGCAGAGGATTGGGTCCCTCTCCGGCGGTACGCCACATGCTGCTCGGCGTAATTTTTTAAATGCAGAAGCGTATTCATCTTGAGCCCCTGCATTGGAAAAGGCTGTTCCAGTAGTACATGAAAAATTAATTTTTTTACATTTTTCCTCACTCTCCTAAGTGTTTGACAGAAGTAATTTTTGCAGCAAGAGAGAATAAAAACTGGTGGCTGTAAATTCCTGTCCTGGAACCTGTTGTGTAGAGATTCTTTATGGACCCAGAATTGATCTACACGTCAGACCCTGTTGTGGTTTAAACTGTTTATCACCGTAATGGCAGTGGTGAGCCTGTGAACACCAACTTATAATCCTGGGTGAAAGAAATGGTTGTTTGCAGTCAATGAAGGGGCAGCTCAGCCATATTGATAGATTCAGAACAATTATCTCAGCAACAGCTATTGGCCGAGAGTTTTCTTGGATCCGATTGGGAGCCTGTAATTTTCGGGGGGATTAATCATGTTCTCTATAGGTAATTTTCTCTAAAGCGTTAGCCAAGAGTTCGCATTCCTGTGGGTAGCGGTGGGGGGCAGGGGGGGGACCCCAGGGGGTCGTTTGTAGATACTTGGCTGTCATATCCTGCTGCGGGGCAAAATGTACTTTCAGATGAATCACACCTTTGCGGAGGGTGCAGGCCGGGCAGGCCTGCCACACCGTCTCTGCCAGTGCCAGCCTTGGGCCAAGGGCCGTGACTTGCTGTTGCCATGGCCACGCGCAACCCTCTCCCCATCCCCCCAACGCCCCTTGACTGTCAGGTTGTTCAGATGGCTCCACCCTGTCCCCCGATTGCTCTATTCCAACAGTTCATCTTTGCTGCTCTGGCTGG